ATCTGTTTCATTTCATCGTTCAGGCCTTTTCTTGTACTACTTAGTGCTATTGCTCAGTTTGTTAGACACTTAACAACTAAGCCAGCCTTTACAGACAGACAGACAACGACGGATGAGATGAATTAAAGTCTAAATATCTATTAGTGGGATGTGTTGACTTTTTATAAACGCCGCTAGTGTGAAGTTTACCTTCTTCGATTCGTTTTATTTTACAGTCTAATCCGATTCAAGTAGTGTTTTTGTAGGGATTTTGTTTGATTGCATGGAGGATTTAATCATGAGCTGACATCAGTTAGAGAACCACTGGAAAACCAACTGGGAGTACTGGACAGCCGTTTCGTCAGCCTAGTTTGGGACTCTTCAGCAGTACGCACCCACACTGCGGGATTCGAACCCACGATCTTCTGGTTACAAGGCGAGCTCGTAGACCATTGAGCCACTGGGACCCGATCCAATGGTCCTTGAATTCTAACTTCTGCCAATTCACGACATAGCGCGACCACTACACAATGTGTTCTTCGATGAGTTACTGCCTCATCTTCAACCTGCTGTACCCTACTGGTCACGGCTTCCCACTAGAAGCCCAGGTTAACTGCCTGAATAGGGCCAGTCACTAGTGAGCATCAGATGAATTCTCAAGTATTGGTTTGTTGTAGGGATTTTGTTTGATTGCATGGAGGATTTTTATCATGAGCTGATATCGGGTCCCAGTGGCTCAATGGTATACGAGCTCGCCTTGTAACCGGAAGGTCCTGGGTTCGAATCCCGCAGTGTGGGTGCGTACTGCTGAAGAGTCCCGAACTAGGCTGACGAAACAGCTGTCCAGTACTCCCAGTTGGTTTTCCAATGGTTCTCTAACTAATGTCAACTCATGATTAAATCCTCCATGTAATCCTATTCAAGCGTGAATCTTTTTCCTCCTACACTAGTGAGTTTGCATGTTTCAAGAAGCTAAAGAGGGATATTTTCCCCTTATTTTAACACTGTGAATGAAAGTGTCATTCACATATTTATGTCCACCATATTTTTAGAGTAGGATTAAATGTCTTTATCCGAATAAAAAACTTATCTATAATGGAGTTATACTCTACCACAGTGCTCAAGTTTGTATACTTATATCAAGAAAGGAAAAGATTGATTTTTTAAATTATTATTATTCGTGAAACTTGAAAATCAAAATGTGAAAAAATAGAATTCGTCTTCTTTGAGATCAGACGTCTAAATATAGTTAATTCCTTCCATGGTGGCATTGCTTCTCCAAGAACACTTTCTACTTCAAAACATTACAGTGTCCGTTTAACACCGATAGGTAAAAATAGAAGTAGTTACAATAAGGAATTGAATTAATACTAGAGGTTTTATGAAGGATTCTTAATAAGACTGGAATTAGGGTGCGGCATCATTGGCCGGCTTAAGGATACAATATCACGAACTGGTAGAAGTCAGAATTCATGGGCCGTTGAATGGAGTCCCACTGGTTGAATTGTCTACGAGCTGACCTCGTAACCGGCAGGTCTCGAGTTCGAACTCTTTCAATGACGAAACAGCTGTCTCGCAGTAATCCAGTGTTGGTTTTCCAATGGTTCTCTAAATGATTTCAATCCATGGTCAAACTTCGAGAATAAATCATCCAGCCTGGTGGGTGACTTTAAAAGTGCTTGATTGTTTTTAAGTGCCTTCATACTCTCTGAGCTACTTGTATTGGTACTGATTGTTTCCTTGACCCTTGAAGTTTTACCCTTCGTGGGTGAGACTTCCTTCTTGTCGATTGGTAAATTTTGTTTATGTCGATGTGTCTATTGATTGGCGATTCACTGGAATACAAGGCTTCTAGAGAATTCTTTAGCATTACTGCTATTTCCTCTGTCTAGTATTTGAACGTTTTTCCAGTTGAAATGATCTCCGTGGTTTTCTGTATTCACTGAGGCGATATGATGGAGTGGATATCATGTCTTTTCACAGCTAGTTTGTGTTCATGGATTCGAAGACGAATAGGATGTCCACATTGGCCATTAGAGTGTTTTTCGCAGTCGTTTCGATTTATTTTTTAAATGATTTTGGTTTTATCCTCTTTTGTTGTTGAGTCTTTTGGTTGACGCATGGCTGGCTGAGTGAAGTGATTTTGTTGGTTTGTGTGCCACATCAATTCCTAAAGGTTTGAAGAGACTTGCAATGATTTCTGAGATTTCTTTTAGATATGATAAGACGATATTCTTTGTGATTTGCTCGGGGACCTTTGATTTGGTAAGTTGGCTTATGGGCAGATGTTTTCTGATGAAGTTTCGTGGATATTCATTCTTTTGGAAGACGTCCATGTGATGTCTTCCTTCAATTTTCTTTTGAGTAGGATTCCTGAAATTAGGTCCTGGCTCTCTTGAATGGTGTTTGTATATAACTGCTTTCGAACGCCATTCATTGGGTTGTTGCTGTTGTAATTGAGTATGTGGTCCGTGTAAGTTGATTTTCTGTAAACTTGAGTTTCTAATTCCCCTGTAGTTGTTCTCTTGACTAAGAGGTCTAAAAATAGGATTTTGTTCTCGGATTCCTTTTCTCTTGTGAATTTGATGTTATTGAAGACGTTGTTCATTAAGTTGTGTGTTTTTTATCCAACTCGTTCCTCTTGATTGTTTATTATAAATGTGTCGTCTACGTAACGTATCCAAATCTTGGATTTGATGTTTGGTAGGATTATGTTTTCGAGTCTTTGCATCACTGTTTCTGCAACCAAACCTGATATTGGCGATCCCAAGGGTGTTCCCTTAATTTTTTCATATATTTGGCCGTTGAACTGTAAGTACGTTCTTAGACATAGATTTATGCATTCCATCTAACTTGTTTGTTGCATTTCTGATTGTTGTGGGAGGTATTCGTCATTACTGAGTAATTGCTCCATGGTCTCTTTTGCTAGTTTCTGTCCTACTGAGGTATATAATGCTGTGACGTCGAAAGACATCATTATTTCTTTTTCACCTATTTGGATGCCTGTGATTTTTTCTAGAAATTGGATTTTAGAATTGATGGAGTGATTAACAAGATTCCACTAGGTGTTTCAATTTTCTGTATAATTCTTTGGATAAATTGTCTGTTGGAGTTCCTCGGAGTGATACAATTGATCGTAACGGGATATTTGGCTTGGGTATTTTGGGTCTGCCATATAATCGCAGTAGAACTGGTAATCAAAAGTAACAGAAATATGCTAAGAGAGGTTGGTCAGTAAAAATCTTGTTTTATCGAATCACCATGAAAATGTGTGTAAATGTATGCGAAATGGCAACGAAAAATTATGAGGCTATAAAAAGCGGGTCAACAATTCCTATGATGAATACACCAATGTGATTTTGAGCTGTAATAATAATGATAATAGTAATCGCTTTATTCTTGATAGTGTTGATATAATGTATAGAATTTTCAGCGGATTTTATTGCGTAACATTTCCTCTTCCCCCAGGATCTTCAAATATAACATCAGTTTTTCAAGTATTGGTTTTGTAGGGATTTTGTTTTGATTTCATGGAGGATTTCATCATGAGCTGACATTAGTTAGAGAACTGCCAGAAAACCTGGGAGTACTGGACAGCCAGCTGTTTCGTCCCAGCAATAGGCACCCACCGGGATTCGAACCTAGGACCTTCCGGTTACAAAGCGAGCCCGTAGACCATTGAGCCACTGGGACCCAATCCAATGGTCCTTAAATTCTAACTTCTGCCAACTCACGACATAGCGCGACCAACGCAGTTGACAGCAGATCGTGTGACAGAGTTCTGTCTAACTTGAAACGGAAACCAATCCACCTTTATGGTAACTCTTCTTTGCCTCCTTTGAAAAACACACTACATTATGCCGAATGCTAATTATAAAGAGCTCTGCGGAACATTTTGTGAAAAAAGGACACCACTCAGGAACTATTCATCTCATGTGTTAGGACAAGCTGCCATCCAGCTGGATAATGCTTTCTGTCATGTTTAGTAGAGGAGACTTGCGAAACCACAAGTTGTGAACATTTCAATTACGCGCGAGAGTAGATCACATTAATGGAGATCATAAATTACTAGATTTAAACAAAACGGAATAAGAGAAATCATATGTAATGCATATTGATGGAGGTTATCGTTAGCCCTAGTTTTATACAGACCAACAGTACTCGAAGTACTATCATCCAGTTATTAATACTGGAAACTACCTAATATGAAATTAGATTTTACCGCAGTATTCAAACCCGACTCTTTCATGAATATTCGCCACTTATTCAACAGGGATTAGGAGTGAAACATTTCAATTAAAAATGCAGACCACAAATTTTTTAGACATATCTGATGCTCATAAGAAGTACCTGGTGTTCTTAATGAGAAGTCGTAACCAGAAGGGTCTACTGAGACGGGTAAGGCAACCGTTAATCATCGTTGGTGTTGGCTGGTGGTTGAGCTAAATATTTATGCAACGAATTGGCAGAAGTTAGAATTCATGAACCAAATGGCCGTTGGAATGGCAGGTCCCAGTGGCTTAATAGTCTACTAGCTAGCTCACCTTGTAATCGAAAAGTCCTGGGTTCGAGCTCTCCCAAACTAGGCAAACATATTTGTCCAGTATACTTCATTACTGGTTCTCCAATGATTCTCTAACTGATGTCAGCTCATGATGAAATCCTGTGACCAATCAATCAAATCCCTACAAACCAACACTAACAAATGAGTATTAAACGTTATAATTTTTAAAATGAAATTATTACAATGAATGAACAAGAGTTCAGAGATGAAAATAATCACCTAGACCCTATACAATAAGAGTCCACTTCATTTGAAGGGATTCAGTTGTATTAGTTAAGTCTAACTCGACATACTACTCACTGATGAACCCAACTTCGAACGAAATGAACACCCGCTCTGACTGTATCATTATGCTAACAATATTTAACACCTTTCATATAAGTCCACTTCTCTAATGCTTTTCTTTTCACAATGTATGTAATATTAATAAATACGTCACTCTAAATAAATAACTCACCTTCATTACACGCTTCAACACAATTCGGTGTACCATATTCAAACAGTAGATTATTGTGAAGATGTTCTTCTCGTGTCATACGACGATTCAGATAATATCCACCTGTTTTACAACATTCCAACTTGGATATATTATTCGCGGTAAGATTGATACAATTCCCGTTTTCCAAACGTACAGCAAAACATGAACCACTACTGACGACTTCAAGGTGAAAAAAAAACAAACGAAAAATACAACAAAATAGTTAGAAGAAAGACAGGCTAGACGAATTTAACTTCATAAACACAAATATGATAACTAGAAATTTATCCCTAGTGAGTTAAATTTTCAAATGTGTGAAATTTTAATGGTGGAAATATAGTTATTGTTGATCGAATGAGTTTAACTCATTTGACACCTTTTGGTTTTCAAGTTACATTATGAACTAGCGTTTAGTTAGAGACTCTGTCTGTCTGTTTTCAACATAGAACTTTGCACCGATGCGCAGAAATGCAAAATAGAAACAGTAGACAGAGATATGAGACAAAAGGAATACTAATAACGAAGAACAATAAAGTTTCGTTGGAAATTATAAGTCATCACAAGGAGTGGATGCATTTGAGCTGTCATTGAGAATGATTTTAAGCCATATCACCAATTGTTTCCAGCCATTCGTTCTTACCGTCCCGAGGACTCTAACCAATCAGGAAGTCTACACCTTCCTACATGGCTTAAACTCCGTGGATTTCATTGCCTGCTGCCATGTTTTGGTTTGACCACCACTAGCTCTTTTCCAACCTGACCGTATGTCAGCTAACATTGCCCTTCAAGGAAGGCGATGGCTAGGTATACGTATCACATATCCTAACCATCTCAGTTGATGTTAATTCACAGCCTCGTCAACAGATTTCCCCTCCTTACCTAGCACTCGACCGATGCCTAACCTCAATATTGCTCACCCTATTATACCACTTCACACGGGAGATAGAGCGTAGGCACCTATGATCAAAGACAGCTAGCCGACCTTTCTTCCACTCTCAATGGCCAGGTCTCACTCACATCCATAAAGGAGGATTGAGCGAACTGCTGAGCAGTACATCCGCCCTTTGGTCGGTAGCCGGATATCAAATGGCAGGTTTACTGCTCAGCAGTTCGCTCTGTCCTCCTTTATGACTTTTAGTCAGAGCTACTGTTTAGTCATTTCATTCAAGTTTGGAACTTCTCGGCAGTAAACACCCATCACCTCATCGGGAATGGAAGCAGCAACCTTTAGGTTATGAGGCAAGTGTCTTGACTATTTAGGTGCTAGGACGGAATCTAGTTGCCTGCCCACATATACATATATATATGTATATATAACTCCATCACTAGCTGATATCACAGGTGAGTATTCGTCTACGCACTTGATTTAACAAACCTAGCTGGTCACGACCTCTCACGGGAACGCCAAACAACTTGTATTTATCTTGCAGTCAATCAGTAATGAGTATTATATATTAATTTGATTACATCACTCCTGTTTAGCTAAAATTGTGTTTTTGTGCTATGCAGACAATGTGTTGTTCCAACGGAATATTATTCTCACATATTCCCATAGATTATTACTACATTAGCAACAGAATACTATACATAAATTTGTATTTGAACATTCTGTTTCATGTCGTTTAGTGTAAACCAAAATCACAAGCTCAGTGATCAGTTAAGGAATATAAACTGTATAGATGTAAGTACAAATAACGGTTTGACCAACTGAAAATATACCTTGGCTTCCGTGTCTTGCCTTCTGCTGTTATAAATGAAGTGAAGTGATGATAATAATAATATTAATATTCAAGTGATGGTTTGTAGGGATTTGATTGGTTTCAGGATTTCATCATGAGCTGATATTAGTTAGAGAACCATTGGAAAACCAACTGGGAGTACTGGACAGCTGTTTCGTCAGCCTAGTTTGGGACTCTTCAGCAGTACGCACCCACACTGCGAGATTCGAACCCAGGACCTTCCGGTTACAAGGCGAGCTAGCTCGTATACCATTAAGCCACTGGGACCCGATCCAATGGTCCTTGAATTCTAACTTCTGCCAATTCACGACATAGCGCAACCGCTAGCCAATGTCTTCGGTGGCGAGTATTTGTCCTCACTGGTAGGTAGTTACCTGGGTTCCAGTGTGAAGTCGTGACCAGTAGGGTGCAGACGGTCGGGTGTGAGGAAAAATACTCGCCACCGAAGACATCGGCTAGCGGTTGCGCTATGTCGTGAAATGGCAGAAGTTAGAATTCAAGGACCATTGGATCGGGTCCCAGTGGCTTAATGGTATACGAGCTAGCTCGCCTTGTAACCGGAAGGTCCTGGGTTCGAATCTCGCAGTGTGGGTGCGTACTGCTGAAGAGTCCCAAACTAGGCTGACGAAACAGCTGTCCAGTACTCCCAGTTGGTTTTCCAATGGTTCTCTAACTAATGTCAGCTCATGATGAAATCCTGAAATAATATTAATAATTAAAAATAATGATAACAGCTTTATTCTGGGCAAAATCTCTACTCAAGTGTACAGAATTCCCAGCCTAATTTACTGAATAATATTTTGCTCTTTGTCATGGATCTTCAAGTAACATGGTAATTTATAGTATATCGCGTGATGATTCTGAAGCATGAGCTAATAATCCCCCCCTGACATTTTTATTTTGTCTCCCAAGGTATGCGCACCGGTAGGTTCAAGAAATGAACTAAAAAATATGCATGAGTACATTTTTCGACTCAAGGATAACAAAATTGAATGGTTAGAACAATAAGGATTTGAGAAAATATGACACATTATGTTTTAGGTGAATTCAGGTAGCCCAGTGATTCCAGCAGGCCACCGTATCTATGAATTTCGGAGTGATATCTATTATTGACAGTATCTACATGGGAATAAATTTGATGTATTTATTTATTTTATTTTATTTTATTATAACATGTGATAGGACTCCAAGTGAACATAGACGAGACGTAGGTTATGAAAATAACCAACCAACCAACGACAACAACAACACCAACAGCAACAGCCAGCGCCAATCACCATCAACGGGAGGGATTTGAAAGAGGTTACTTCATTCACTTATCACTTATCTAGGGAGCATTGTCTCAACTACAGGAAGTCGGAACGGACGAGGATGTCAAATCGACCGAGAATCCGGAAGGCGAGAAACACATTCACTCATCAACCTGAAACCAATCGGGAAATCTTCGTCACTCAACTCAGCATCAACAACAAAATTCGGTCGGATTTTCAATACAAACAACGTCAAGTCAGTCAGTCAGTTCATCTATACGGATCAGAAACTTGTCAGGCGGGTGGGTCACAAAGAATATTTCCAACAGCCTGTTGCAGACGTTACCTTTATCAACCAACAACTGTCTTCGCTGGCTCTATACTGAAGATCAGATGGCCGGGCCGGGCCGGAAAGAATCACCACCAACAAGAAACTATGGCTGGGAACGAACAAAACAAGAATTAATCGCCAACCAGCAAATATGCAGGAGAAAGTAGATGTAGATGAATTTGAAACTCGTGGCTGAGGAGGCCGCCACTGGGTGACATCAGGCGCGCGTCAGGCCATTGCTCGAGTGGAACCAGGCCGAAATGAAAGTGGTGAGTGGAACGTCGGGGTAAGGATGACATGGAGGAGATCGTGTGAAGAGGGGTTGAAAGAGTATGAACTAACATGGACGCAGGTGAAAAGTACAGCAGAAGTAAGACAGAAGTGGCAAGTGGAGACGTGCAGTTGAAGCCCTATGTTCCACAAGGAACTCAAGGGAACAATAATATACAATAACAATAATAGCGTGTGATATTCGTAGCCCGACTATCGATATCAGGTGTGCATCGGCCGGGGATCAAACGCCGGACTATGTGCATGGTCGTCAAGCGTCCCAACCGCTGCACTACTGACGACACATTAGAATCTTGGTGTGTAATAATAGTAAAGCTTTATTTCAGACAATATGTGAATAAAGTACAGGGATTTCAAGCGTATTTAGTTCCAAAAACATTTCCACCTCATACAGAATTCACATGTAAAGTAATAATTTGAAATATATCATGAGAGGTAGCGTTAGTGCATATGAAGACAGAATCAATTCTGTGAGTTTTTTCTTCATTTCTTCCAAGAATTGCACAGCGCTTATTTGAAAGTCCAATTTAAATATGTGCTAGTCCGTATAGTGGTTGTCTGACATAATTGCACGATTAAAACAATAAGAAGTGCAGAAGGGTTTAAGTAGCATTTCGACAGATTGAAATTTCGGTAATTCCATATTAGTTTGTTTATTCGATGGAAACAGTGAAACAGTATTATTATTTACTGGATGACGTTTCAAACAAAATCTATTACTGTTCATAATCATATCAATTATAATCACTCGACTTCGAAACTAGAGTTTTATAGTTTTCTTTGTCCTCTCCTATTTGTCGTCGTAGTAGGGGTAGTAGAATTTTCCAGATATCAGGGTGGACAGGTGTTGAATCATTCCTATTACGCATGTTGGTTTGCAGTTGATTCGATAAACAAAGCCTCTGTTATCAAATTTCCCTCCACCCTGTGACATTAGATTTTAAAGTTGTCATCCCATTCCATTTTACTGTATGGTGGGTTGCGCGTGATTGCATGTAGTGAATGCTATAGCTGAACTAACTATTCTCTAGATTTCTTATCTCATTATTACGGTCAACCAATCTAGATTTTGCTAGGTTTTTATGTTCGGCTAGTCTGACTGCCCCTGTTCTACTAGTAGTTTGACCTATGTATTTGACCTGACACACAGTCATTCCAGCAGGGTATCAGATAAATTAAATTGTTCTGTCTTAAAGATATCTGGAAAATTCTACTACCCCTACAACGACAAACTCAAGTTTCGAAGTCTTGTGATTATAATTGATGGAATCACTATGAACAATAAATTTTGTTTGAAATGTCATCCAGTAAATGATACTGTTTCACTGTGTGATATATCCATATATATATATATATATATATATATATATATATATATATATATATATATATATATATATATACAAACTAATATGGAATTACTTACTTCCACAGTACTCAAGTTTTACACATATATTAATGGAAATTCCGGTAGTGGGGTAATTTAAGCAGGCCACCAGGTCATCGTAATTATCGGTGAATACTAGCTTCCAAAATTTACCAGCAGTAGAATTTCAAATCTACATTTTT